ACCGAGAATCGAACTCGGGACCTACTGCGTGTTAGGCAGTCGTCATAACCAACTAGACCATTCCAGCAACCTGCAACCTGGGAAACTGTGGTAGTGTGTATCCCTATGTCATAGTGTCAGCGTGTCACTCGGTAGGGTGAATACTGGATCTAAGAATCGAAACCAGGACCTACTGCGTGTCAGGCAGGCGTCATAACAAACTGGGCCATTCCAGCAACCCGCAAGGGCCAAGACTCTCGCGGTGTCCATCTCTATATGACAATCTCATCATGTCAATGAGTGAGATGAGTACTGGAACCGAGAATCGAACTCGGGACCCAATGCGTGTGAGACAGTCGTCATAACCAACCAACCAAAGTTTACTCGTCATGGTGCAACTACTACAACTCTATACCTTTCAGAAATCTATTTCGCGTTCAAGGCCACCAATTTCGCGAATAGGGACATGAATTTCGCGTTAGGGATAGAATCGGGAAGTCAATTTCAAGAATAAGGATCACAATTTCGCGGATACGGAAATCAATTTCGGGCTGTACTTTCAACTACACGAAGAATCTTCGGAGTGCTAGAAATTGCACAATGTGCGAAGCCCCCTCACTGAAACATAGCGCAGCTTGTACCTACCTTCCAGAAACGACTTTAATGGTTTATTGCAGCAACTCCGCATGCCATGAATGATATGACATATAAACATATATTATACGATGCGAAGACATATGATATGTCAGCGACAGACAATAGTATAGTTAAGGAAGGTTTTTTAAGATTTTTTTGTGTAGTTGAAAGTACAGCCCGAAATTGATTTACTTATCCGCGAAATTCTGATTCTTATACGTGAAATTGACCTCCATATTCTGCCCCTACCGCGAAGTTGATGTCCCGATTCGCGAAAAAGGTACAGATAGTTGGTCGGGAGTGTGGGAGAGGACCAATATCCTGTGAGCTCGAAGCCTGAACACCAAACACGAGGTGCTATGCGCTGGCTGCACTGGCAATTGGTCACACTAGGGACGCTGGAGCACTGAATCAGTGCCACTGATAAATATAGCTTATATTATATACGTGCAGTCTCAGACATCTATGTCATTGACATAGCAGTGCAAATCCAAATATCCACTAGTGTCCCACGAACCACCTTCGAAAGAGAAAAACACTCACAGGTAATGATGCCGCCATTAAGATCAGTATCACCAGCGCGGAAACCAGGAATCGCACTCGATTCTATATGACCGGGAAAAGTGTAAAAGGGCGCACGCGCAACTTTGCTGGAACCTAGAATACTAGAAGCCTAACACGCGTAAGGCAGTCGCAATATCGAATATGACACATCCGACTATATCAGCAAGCAAAACAATGTCCAGAAAGTTCAAATTGTGTGTAATTCTATAAGGTAGATTAGCTAGTTACCCACCTGAGGTGAGGAGTCCTGGCCGAGGACTGCACACATATTGTGTTCTGGCCCACAAAGATCGACGCACAACACTACAACGCAACTTTTGGGAATAATGCAGCATTTGCTCAACAGCAGTCAAGTTCTCATGCTTCATTGACTTTGATATTATCGAACAAGTTGTCCATAGCTCTCAGATTCGACTTGTTGTAATCGGTACGAGACGTAGTGACGTATGAAGTAGGGGCGCTGTCTCCCTGAATAACCATAAAAACCTAGTAAGTTTTCTGTGCAGGTAAGGCCCCGAACTTACATTGTAAGATCGTCTCAGAGACTCACGTGCAAGTAGGGTCTGTAGCATGGGAGTTTGAACGGCTGGACGCGCAGTAAGGGGAACAACCACGCCGGGCCTTCCGCTCGATTTTAGTTGTCCTAAACAGTCCCACGAAGGTATGAGCTATTCCAAAGATCTCTAGTTTAATAGAGCCTACGGAAGTAAGTGCCGTTATTTCGCCACATCACACAGGTTAAAAAACCGGCAAGGGGACAAAGCCGGAACCCCTTTCAATATGTTCGAAATGATTTCGACGAAATCAGAGCGTGAACCGGAACACCCAGCGGAGCGGAATACCCGCCAGGGATAGAGTTCGTGTAGGAGCACTACTTAACTACACTTAGCACTACAAAACACTCAGCATCTTCAAGGGCGACCTATGAATCATAGGCTATGATAGATCATCTACCCATGATATATCGCCCCTCACCCTGGCATTTCGGCCACGAATACTTGAAATACTGCGGAAATTTACAACGCCCTCAATACATTGACGAATCGAAGTGACTTCATGTGAGTTACCTTTCTTTGGTGATAGGCTAGTCCCAATGAGAGCCAGTGACTTGATGAACTGGTCATGCTTTAGTGCTTGCATATGCCTTTCACGATCTCGGTGAGCAGCATCAACAGCCTCAGCTACAACTTGATCACGATCACGGGCCGCGACTGCTGCAACGAACTACAGCAGCATCAAACACTCGAGCACAAAACGTCTTGAATGTCTGACCTGTTCCCGGCTTTGCCGAAGCTCGTCCAGAAGGGACTTATTCAGTTCCCTCTGTTCTCGCAGCATGGCCAGCAGAGCTGACGACTCTAGGTCTACAAATGATCCCTCCAAGAGGGCTTCTGCCACATTCTCACTTGTGGCGTCGCATGTGACATCATTAAGACGTTCCCGCAAGTCACCCCGTGTTGGAGAACCAAAGCTTCGATCAAATGCAGGACCGGTAGGAAAAGTCGAAGTTTCTACCCGAGGGTCTGAAACAACCCAGCGATGCATGAGGGGGGTCAACGTCTTCAATTTACCAGCGGTGAACTCGAATGAGGTAGACTGTCGCACCGCTTCCCTTACTGGATCGGACTCTTCACCGTTGGGAGCTGGCAGCGAGCCTCGTATGATAGAAGGGAAATCGAAGATTGTTGCCGTCCTATCGGCTTTACTCTGGAGGGATGAATGTACAGTGCGACCTCTATTGGGTGCACCTGTTAATGCACAGAGTAAACAACGATCAAATCTTAAGCTACTCGAATTTCTAGGCGACGGACCAGGCCCCGAGCGCTGGGGACCCTTTGAGAGAGGACTGTCTGACTCGCTGCTGCTCCCTTCCGGACTCAGCTGATGCCGAGACGACAGTTTCGGTAATGGTCTGATAATATTTCATCGGCTGGCGGAAAGATCAGCAGCTGCTACAGGCAAGAGGGAAGTGACTTGGCAAGCACGCCAGCCTTCGCGCGACCTGGTCCTCGTAGAGTACTCAGCACAGCTGAAAAATTGGCGTACATTGAGGATCGAAAGCTGGACAGTTTTCAGTGAACTTACCGGTTTGTGGATCGACCTCTTCCATTGGTACCTACCACAAATTCAAGTAAACAGCCACAGGGTCCATGACCGACTCCAAGTTCCTTGGCAAAGCTCACAATATTCTCAGCATCCAGCTGCATTACGAGCCTCTGGCATCGGCCAAAGCTCTCAGCCAGGTCGAAGCTCAACCTGGAAGATGGCCAAGCTCAATAACTCGAGGGTGAGAAACCTGCTTCACCGATCGGCTTCCAGGACTAGCGTGGATCCCCGGCCTGCCAAGCGGTCGACGAGGGTGCAGAAACGCCGTGCCAATTTGGACCAGTTTTGCTTCATTTCGCCGGTAGCATCTTCGTCCACCACTCTAGCTACCGTTATGGTATCTGGACACACGGAATCGTTGGATACTCAGAAAGGGAAGCTCTGCCTGTGCCAATATGGTCGATTCTGCGCACGGCATCCACCACATCTTCGAGGCGGCGCACTGAGTACTCGGACAGCCAACGGATGTCTCGGCACATGGTTGACCAACTAACTCTTGAATTGATGGAGAGGGAGTACACCTACAGGGACCTCATGGAATTACGCGCTTCTCAACAGTGTGTGTACCTCAACCAGAACTCCGAGTGCTTCAGCATAGGAGGGGCCGTCAAGATGCTCTTCATCTGTTAGTTGAGTCGGTCGTGGGGAAGACACCTTTTCCTTGCACAGGTAATATTAGTGAGTTACAGGCGCCCGTAACGACCACATGGCGGCGGAATCGACCATCTCCCAAGCTACTCACCATTGCGCTGTCCTTGCTAGAGACGCTCGAGTTGCTCTCATGATCATCGTCCTCTACGGGCGTGTCTACTGACTAACGACACATAGCGTTTGAGATGGTCGCACGGTTCGTTGATTACTTTCGAGGGCGTGGGCAATAAAGAGTGCATGACGAGACAGCAGAGTATCTCCTCTGTTGTGGGTTCAGTGGGCCGACTGAGCTGCTCGAAAGCATCACAAACCGCAGAAAGAATTCGCAAGCATATAGTCTCCTACGGAAACCGATGGAGGCGGAGCAATTGCAACAAAAAGAAAGTTGCTCACTCTGATAGTAACATCAACCCTGTCGCAAGATCTATTGCTTACTACTCCCTTCAGGTGCCTTGGCATTGACCTCAACGCCTAAACACCAAAATGTAAGTTATAATTATCAAAGCCGAAAGCAAGGCTGCCCTACGTTCTGGAGCTCAACTGCCACGTGGTTCTGTAACCTAGAACCAAGCTCAAGAGTGATAGCTCGAGTGAACGTCCTCAACAGACTTGGAGCGGAGGGCCTGGGACGAGAGACGGAGGTATCGCTCCGGCAATAATCGCCGGGCACCACGGACGTACTCACCGGCGACTGCGACCAGCCCCTCGTCTACTCGGGCTGATGGGCGATACTGCAACAGCCGCCTTGATGCCTCGTATGAGCTTGAGGAACCCGCCGCAGCACGTAGAGACACGCAATACGGACGTGGCCAACGCTCGAACTTCGTCCTTAACATCTCTGATACAGAACTGTTTACGAAGAAGTTGACTTGGACCAAGCCTACTGTTTGGCTGAAGACGCCTGGAGAAGCAGCCACCAGTCGATTTGGTATCGGAACGAGACCTGGGATAGAATGCGGGGTGTCTAATTTGGGCACCACTGACGCACTCGCTGATCAGCTAGCAACTCGGCTACGGAGATGTCGATCTTGTGATCCCTCATAAGCCCTTTAACGGCTATCCATCCAGGGTTGGCTGAAGCAACTCGATCTGGGGCCAGGGCCAACCTACGGAGCGATGTGTCTAGATACAACAAACGGCCGCTGGCTATCGCCTTGTAGATTCTGGTGGGATTTACTATTCTCCTATGCTTTTTGATGCTCAGTCTCACAATGGAGCTAGCGCCAAAGAAGTAGCGGTTACGTCATTTTGACGCCAGGATAACGCCCCTACAGTATTAGACCGGTTTCATCAAGCACCCTCACCAATAAGAGACTATCCGCAAAGTGGCAACCTCAACGTTGAGCAGCCGAAGCGTTCCAGCCTTGAGGGCACTGACGACCTTCCTCTCGATCAATATAGTCCCTAGCCTGTTGGCCAGCAACCTGAT